TTGTTTTAGAGGAATGTTAGGAAGAAACTGGAGACTTGGTGGGGGGGGGGGGGGGGTGTGACGTGGTGTAAAAAGCATGGAACAACACTGCAAAGTTATGAAGGAATAGGAGCCACTGACATCCCTTCCTGTTCCTTGTGTGCACACCACATGTTTGGAACTTGCAGTATGAAATATTCTTTCTTTTCTGAATACATCAAACATGACACTTCAGAAATTTCCAAGATTTCCAGTTATGATGGCTAAATTGAAATGTTTCAACATCTGCCCTAGTTTTTCAAGCAGTTTCTCAACATGGAAAACCATGCCAATCACTCAGCATTTAGCTCATCTGCCTGGAACACTGGAAGGCCAACTGGGATCCTAAAGCTTAACTGTGCAAGAGGAAAGGGGAGGAAAGACATCTTCTACCTCACGAATGTGGGACAGGACTCATCATGGAATCTGCGTGCTGGTGTTGACTCTTTTACTAAGCTAGTTGGGAATTCTTAGCCAACTCTCTCTGAACTTCAGTATGCTTTTCATCACAGAAAAGGTAGATTTTGATAAAGGATGAATTTGGGTTTGTTGGACATCAACGAACCCCTGGAGATCATTGAAAAATCTGATGTATGTACATGTGTCTTCCTCTAAGACAGTGAGTGGGTCTCAACCTCCCTAAAACCACCACCCTTTAACACAGCTCCTCATGCCGTGCTGACCCCCAACCATAACATTATTTTTGTTGCTACTCATAACTGTAATTTTGCTACTGTTATGACTCATAGTGTAAACATCTCATATGGGGGATATCTGATATATGATGTCCAAAGGGCTCACGACCCACAGTTTGAGAAATGCTGCTTTAAGAAGTGATTTTCATTAGATTCTCTGAGAGGTCTGAGTTCAAATTTTTTAGAGTCATGGATTCTGGTACTTGCCTAGATTTCCCCCCACCCCACTCTCAGCTATGAGAATTTCTGTGTCTGTGTTTCAAGACATCTGTCCAGTAGTTCACCATCATTAGGCGCTTTGATCCATGTGTTGCACAGCTGAGCACAGGACGAGACATGAGTCCACTGGGATCCTAATGCTATTGTGACCATCATCAATAACGTGGGAAGAGGAGGGAAAGATGTGTTTCCCACTCAGAAATGTCATTGCCCTACACACCCATGAACTATGTATGCCAGCCTGCCTCAAGTTCATTGCTGGGGAGCCAAGCTCTTCCCCTGGCCTCTTTGAATGAAGTGTTTATACTCAGTATTTAAAGCAATGGGTACTGGGCTGGGGATGGGGCTCAATAGGAAGAGAGATCACCCTGAATACTCTAGGTTTGATTCCCAGTAACACACACACACACACACACACACACACACACACACACAGAGAGAGAGAGGGAGAGAGAGAGAGAGAGAGAGAGAGAGAGAGAGAGAAACCTCAATGGCTCTTTTACATGCTAACCTGAAAGTTAAGTTTTTTTTAAAAAAATAATTTATTTTTATTTCATGTCCATTCATGTTTTGCCTGCATGTAAGGCTGTGTAAAGGTGTCAGAGCCCTTGAAACTGGACTTACAGGCAGTTATGAGTTGTCATGTGGGTTCTGGGAATTGAACCTGGTTTCTCTGGAAGAGCAGCCAATGCTCTGAATCGCTGAGCCATCCTTATCTCCAGCCCAAAAGTTAAGTTTTAAAATGACAAAAAAAAAAGAAGGAAAGAAAGAAAGAAAAAAAGTGAGAACTACTACAGACTTGTAGGTCATAGAATCATTGAAAAACTTTTGAATTAAAGATCCTCCTCCCCATCCCCTTTTTACACATAAGAGAGATGGAACCAGAACCCAGAAAGCTCACCACTTTCCAGTCCAGGCTCTTTGCTTCCTATTGGTTACCCAGCAAGACAGCAGAGTGTAGAATGGAAGGTGTGGATCTTGTGGGGCACAACCATGGCAACGATTACAAGAAAGCCGGAGGGGGGGGGGGAGCAAGCCAGACCTGAATAGTGAGAGATGGCTCAGGATGCTATCCGAAGGGGCTAGATTCACACTGAAGAGTTGGGGTACGTGGCCTCACTCACTAGCAGGTTCAAAACAAGCATGAAGCCAACTGATCTACCCTTGCTCAGACTGTTAATCTCTCCCATACTTCCCAGCTCTCCCGCCAGTCTGTGCAGTTTCTACAAAAAGAGGCTTTAATGCAACCACCCATGAGAGAAACATCATGAAAAACTCCCCCTTGAGAGGATCAGTAGAATAAGAGAGGATTTTTTACCCCCAGGTAAGTCTGAATTTTAATTTTGGCTTTTGTGAGGAGTCCTCAACATCCCCAGGCTCAAAGCCGGTTTACAAAGAGGAGTGGATCCAACCAACACAACTGCTTTCCTGGTGTGCTACTGACCCAAGGCTGGATGCCATTTGGAGAGGAGGTGCCCTCAAAATCCCTCCCTTTTGATGACCGTCTCTGATTTGAATAGTTTAAGCAACTTAGATCCAGGACATCACGAGTCTGAATCTGTTAATGGCCAGATAAGGCAAAAATCAGGTGTAGATGAAGGTTCATGAGAACTTCAAGTCAGCCATCCTTTCTCTTCTTGCAGGCGGTTTGTTTGTGAGTTTGTGAGATGGACTCGGAGAGAAATCAAGCTGGGAATCAACTCAGCATCCTGTTTACCCCACTAAAGAAATGATTACACCCTGGGCGGTGGTGGCGTATGCCTTCAAGGCCAGCCTGGTCTACAGAATTAGTTACAGGACAGGCTCCAAAGAGACAGAGAAACCCTGTCTTGAAAAACAGACAGCAACAACAAAGCAAAAAAAGAGAGAGAAAGAAAGAAATGATCACACACCTAGTAAGAGCTCAATAAAGAAGGAACCAGGACGGGAGCGATGGCTCGGTGGCTGAGAGCACTCGCTGCACGTGCAGAGAACTGGACTCAGTTCCCAGCACTCATGTGGCAGCTCGCAACTGCATCACTCCAGCTCCAGGGGATCAATGCCCTCTTCTGACTTCCACGGGGCAAGAGGCACATACATGGTGCACATAATACACATGCAGGCAAAAACTCATTCGCATAAAATAAGCAAATCTAAAGTAAAACTTAAAAATAAATAAAGAAGGAACCGTGAATAGTCATAGCCTCTGATCTCTGTCTCCGTCGGGCCCTTCACTGCCTCTCCTCCCTCACAAATTAGATGAGCACCATTGATGGTCACATGCAGGCCTACCAGCTGACCCCAACCACTTGAACCAAGTCACTGGCCACGGTGCATGGCACACCGTGCACAGTCTGCCTTCAGCTCCCACTTCTGCTCATTATGAGCCCGAGGCTTTGATGGCGTTCCCTGACCTCCGTACACCTTGATTTCATCAGCAATATGAGATTAGGCCTAACAGGTCTCCAGTGGGGCTGGTGTGAAGAACAGAGTTATTAACAAAACCATCCACAACAAAGTGCTCAGCATAAAAAGGGCTCGCATGACAGTTGTCTCTACTAAGGCAACTCTGCGTTTGATTCTATTGCACATCTGAGTTTTGGTAGCTTAGAGGTGTGACTCGGGGAGGTGACTCCGGGAGGCTGACAAAGGTGCCGTCTAGCCATGCCAGCTGGGCTGCAACAATTGGCCAATATCTCAAAGAGCTGAGAAAGGAGCCCCTCCCCTTCCCTCCTTGGGCCATAGCTCTCTGCCTATACCGTAGTGGTTACCAGCCTGGGGGCGGTACACAGGCATGCCAACCTGTGTGTAAGTTTTCAGAGAATGTCTGCAAGCTCTGGTCACCATGCCAGGTGGCTCTTTAGATCTCCCTCACCTCTACTGGTTCTTCCTGGCTCCAGTCTTTATCCAACACCCAGAGATACTGGCTCTCAAACCTGGGGACACCCTGAAAACCATCTCATTTTCTTGGGGGGAAAGCTAAGGAAACAAATCTGCCCAGGGTACCTGGCTAGTCAGTTCAGACCCACTGGTTAGCTTTCCTCCACCCTCGGGTCCGCCACACCTGGCATACTCTTCGGATTTCTGAACTCTGGCTAACTTTGGGTTTGGACTCCAGGTGGACAGGATCCCTGCTTCCTCACACACGCTTGGACTTTGTTGGCTTGTCCCACTGCCTTCCTGGCCTGGTCCTTCACAGGTTGGGAGACCTCCTCCAGCTCTTTGCAGACATCCCTTCTGTGCCCTGGTCCACAGAGCTGCCTGAGTCCAGCCCAGTCATACCAGCCCGTGCTTTATGACATCCCCATCTCTGGAGACCCTCCTGGTGGACACCGCCTAAATAAGGACCACCCAGAAGGGCTCTTTCTGCCCCGAATCAGGTTCAGAAGGGGGCAGAGTCTGGTCTTTCCTTCTGTCGCCTCCTTTCTGCATCGGTTTCAAGGACTCCAGACTCCCTTCGCCCAGGCTCTTCACATTCCTGTCTTCCGTTTTCTCTGCTTCTCTGGCTTTTCCTTTCTCTCCTTCCCGGGGTCGCATTCAGCCTGCATTTTCTGGGGGGTCACCTGGCTTCTTAGTGCCTCTTGCACCCTGCCCTGTTTCCCTCTCTACCCTTTGCTCCTTCCTTCTCTCCTCTCCTCCCTCCCGCTTTCCCTTCAACACATCTGTTTCTAATCTCAGCGCTCAGAGGCGCCTGTTTGAAACAAAAAGCTCCCCCCACCCTCAAAACCTGGCACAGAAAACCCTGGATGAACCTTTCCTCCCCGGCTCTCCACTTTCCCCTGGTACTCCTGAAACCAAACCGCTCGCTGAAAAGTACCCTCCACACCAAACCGTTCTCCGCTAAACTCCACCAGGAAACGCCCCCACCCCGTAGCTGGCTGGAGGGCCCAGATGTGTGAGACATTTCGATGGCCGACTGGGCGGTCCTCCGCTGCCAGATGCGCCCCTCGGTGGCGCGGAGGCAGGGACCGAGTGGTTGCGGCACTCCGGGACTGCAGGGACCACAGTGCTGAAGGCGGGTCTCCACCCAAACGCAGGGTGGCGTTTGCCCAGGGCCATCCAAACTCCCGCCCTCCCCAAGACACTCACCTAGCCAGAGGAAGAAGAGGGACATCCCGATCCCCAGACACAGACACTTCCCGGCTCAGCGCTGCTTGGCTGCAGGGCGACCGAGCGCAGCCGACGGACCTTCTGCTAGCAGGGCGCGGCGCCTCGGGGTGCGCGCGGGGGGCTGCAGCCATGTGCGGGCGCTGGCCCCGCGCCCGGGTCCCTTGCGCGCTGCGCTCCCGGGGCACCGAGGGCTTCTAGCCCTGGCTCCACCAGCTTGCGCCGGGACGGGGGCCGGGCCCTGGGTCAGGGAGGAGAAGGCGAGGCGGTAAGGCGCTACCGCTTCGTGGAACACTTTTCCCTGTTTGGAAAGAAAACCGACTGGAGAAAGAGAAAAAAAAATTGAGCTGGAACCACACGGCTGCCTCCTACCGCAGCCCCTCCCTCCATCCCTCCCCTCGCCCTCCCTTCCTTTCGCTCCCGCCCTCCCTCTCTGCGTTTGGGGTTAGCTGCTGGGGCTGCTTTACCTCCCACCCGGGAGGGAGGGCCGAGGCCCGGGGTGATCGAGGGGGGCGCTCGGTGCCAATTGATGCGGTACAGGAGAGAATCTGCAGTACTTCGGCCAAAAGCCGGTGAATGCGGCCTTCTCAATTCTGTCTTTTCTCTCCCTGATCGCTCTACTCTTTTGTATATTTTTCTCCCTCACAATGCTCTATGTTTTTTCTCTCTCTCTCTCTCTCTCTCTCTCTCACACACACACACACACACACACATTCACTTTTTTTGCGGGAGGGGGACAGGGTCTCACTATGTAGCTTTTTGTTGGCTTGGACGGCTATCTATGCAGACCAGGCTGGCCTCGAACTCACAAATCTCACAGAGATCTATCTGTTTCTGAGCGCACCAGCACACCGGATTTTGTTCACGTTCTTGCTTCTTCTCATCTCCTCCTTCCTCTTCTTTCTGGTTTCCCCAGCCTCCCATTTCTCCTCTCCGGTCCCTTCTAGGTCTGGTTAGGTAGTTATGAAGTTACTGGGGTCACCATGTAAATAGTGGGTTTGTGCAGTAGTGCGTCATTAAAACAGTTTTTTTCTGGCCTTCCTGTGTGGACCCTTTGCTGCCTTTGCCTTTGCTCCTTGTCTTTGCTATTTACAGTCACCGGCTGTTAAATCTGCACAGGGCTGAGCCAGCCACTCTTCCAGAGAAGTGGAAATCTGAGGTTCAAGCAAATGGTGATGCATTAAGATGCAGACCTATATCCTAGCACTTAGGAGGCTGAGGCAGGAGGATAGCCAAGAGTTCACGTCTACCCTGGGCTAATTTAGTGAGTTTCCCAGCCAGCCTAAGCTAGGTGTAATCAGCTTTGCAGGGATAAAGAAATGACAGATCTGTGTCCTGCAATCTGGCTGTCAGGCTTTTAAAACAATGAATCCCAATAAACTGGAATTCCCCCCAGGCATCTCATGTTGGGAGAAGAAAAAGCATAGTGCCTAGAACAGCCAGGGAGAAAACTTTTCTCCTGGAAAGGAATTTGCAATGTGTTGCCGCCTTACTGCAGAGACAGAAACTCAGTGATGGGCAGGCCCACACCTCGACTGGAAACTACATACAAAGAACATCTCGGGCTCTACTTAAACACCAGCTCCAGAACACAGCAAAGATGGGTTGGGGCAGAGCACTGTGGCTCTATTCCTCTTCCCAGTGTGACTACTGCCCTTTTCCTGTCCCAGGAGCACTATCTAGGAGGTGGGCAGAGGGCAGGAGACTGGCGGGCCCACAGGGAAGAGCCTGGAGTCATTCTTGCTGTAGGAGAGAGCAGAGAAGAAAGGTGGGGCGGGGGAGGGGGGTGCTGCTCAGGTGTCAGAGCTCTCCCCCCGACACTTTTCCTTGTGCTGTGGAAAACCTTAGACCAGGTCTCTCTAGCGCCAGCCCATTTATGTCCCAGAGAACTGGCTGAGGGTGCTGCCACTCACCTTTAGTCCGGCCTCCTAGATTGGGAGCTGGGCTCAGAGCTAAAGCAGCATTCAGCTGGGCAGTTAACTTGGGAGCTGATCCCTCCTCTCTGGCTCCCTTAGCTTCAGTCCCATTTCACAGATGAGGAAAGTAGAACCCGGGAGAGATTGCATAACTCTTACACTAGCTAGAAATATTGTCAAAAGTCTGGGTTGTTCTTGGGGTTTGGAGATATTAGCCCCAACAGTTCCTTGGCACCCACCCACTTCCTTTCCTTCCCCACATTCTGACCTGACAATCCAACCCAGGCTTCATGTGTGGACTTTCTTAGTCTGTTTTAGAGGATAAGAAAACCATCTCTTAGGAGGGTAAAATATCCTTCTCTAACTTGGAAAATGTTAAAATTCTTCCATTCCAATAATCGATAGCTTAAATATACTATTTTTTTTGAGACAGGATTTCCCTGTGTAATAGTCCTGGCTATCCTGGAATTCACTCTGTAGACCAGGCTAGCCTCACACTCACAGAGATCTGCCTGCCTCTGCCTCCCGAGTGCTGGCTCTAAAGGCGTGTGCCACCACTGCCCAGCTATCTACTACCTTTCTGACACAATTTTTATTGCTTCTGTTGGAATTTCACATCATGTACCCCATACCACCCATTTCCTAGTCCCTACATAGTCACCACTCAATCCCCATAGAGTCCCCCACAATAGAAAATTTTAAAAATTAAAACCAAACAAAACTAAACAAAAAACCACTTAACTCCCCCATCTTTCCCACCGCTCCACCTCTTTTGGGAGTGGCAGGTGGGTCACACAGTAGACCCTTTGGTCCGTTCAGCTTTACTGGCAAATGTTCATTGCGGTGTGTTGTTGGTTTGTTCAAGTCCTCTGGCTTCTGGTCCACTGTCAATACTGGACTTTCACCAAAACGCCTAGCAGATATCTGTTGCCCCAGTCACGGAGATCCTGCAACTATGGTTCCGCAGGACCAGTCCCTTCACACATTCTGACAATCATAGGTGGGGTAGATATTGGGGTGAGCCAACTCAAAGCCCTGGATTTGGGTCTAGGTGGTAGCTGATCTGGTCAGTCTGGGGCAGCTAGGACTGTCTCTACCTTGGTCAAGGGGAGGAGTCGGCTCTTCTATCCCCATGCCATCAGGGCCAGCTCTCCCATGCCTGTGGTGAGGGGTGGGGCCGTCTCTCCTGTGTCCAGCTCTCCTTTGTGGGCCAGCTCTCCTGTGAGGGGCAGAGCCAGCTCTTATGCTTCAGTGGCCAGTAAGGGTCATGGCCAGCTCTCCCACGGCCAACAAAGCATGGTGCTGGCTCAACACAGCCTTCAGATTTCAACACACATGGTTCCTATGGGTCACGGTAACATGGGTCACGGAGATCAACCCAGACCTCAGCTGCAGGAGGACCATGGACCTTCCATAGCAGATGGGCCCGGGTGTCACCATGGCCCCAGTGCACACCACCCAGATAAGTATGGTGGTACCAACATGGTCTCAGGTGGTTGACCAGATCCCAGGTATCCACGTGGTCCATGGTGGTAACAGTAGCCATGGACAACAATTGAGACCCTGGCTATTGTAGGACCATGAACCCATACATGTCCCTGAGCAGTAGTTTGGACCTGGATGTTACCATGGCCCCAGATGGCAGCACAGTCCACTGAGGTCAACATAGCCCATTTGCAGTGTGGCCCTTGGACAATAACATGGCCCCAGGGGGCAGCCCAGAACCTGGGCATCCACATGTGCTTCAACATCCACAGAAGCACAGACATCAGCACAGACACTGGCTGTTGTAAGGTCATGGACTCAGACATGGCCTTTGATTGCAGCTTGGGGCTGGACAGTACCATGTTCCAGGGTGGCAGCACAGGCCATTTAGATCAGTACGGCCCCAGTGGCATAAGGCATATATCCAGGTGGCCCATGGCCCTTGGACACCAACATAGCCTCAGGTGGCTGACCAGACCCTGGGCATTCATACAGTTTTCAGTGGTAACTGGAGCCATGCACATTATAAAATATTTAAAATGTTTATTTGATTATGAAGTAATTTTTTTGGGGGGGAGCTGGTGTCTGAGACAGGGACTTACTGAATGATAGCCTTGGTTGGCCTGGAACTCACAATGTAGTCCAGGCTGGTCTTGAATTCATAGACAGCTTCCTGTATTTGCCTCCAGAGTCCTAGGATCAAAGGTATGTAGCAACATAGCAGGCAATTAAAAAAAAAAAACAACTTTAACCACTTAACTAATAGGGTACAACCACAACTATAAATTGCATATGAGTATGTTGAAAAGTGAATTCTTTATAAAGGCTGAGGGAGGTAGGAAGGAGACTGTTGGAAACATACTTTCCTGCTATTTCTGGTTCAGTTTTAAAAAATGCTTGACATCATTTCAGACACACCCAGAAGTAGTAAAAACAGTACAAAAGTCCCTGGATGCCCTTTCCTCGGTTCCTCCTTTTTATTGCTTTTTAGGAAAGGTGCATTTTGTAAGCTTCTAAAGCAGCACTTTTATTCCGCTGCTACCTTTCTCTGGCTGGAGGGACGTGCCCCTGAAGACAGACATGTGCAGGCCTGGCAGATGTGTGTTTAGATCCACATCATCTGTGCTGAGGGTATCGAGATGCCACCGGCCGACGGTTGTTAGTCAGCAGAGATAATTAGATCTTACTGTGCTGTGATCTTGAACACCCCCTTTTCCCAGGTCCAAATCTTGTGACCACTAGGAAGCTGATGCATCTTCCTTGGGTGGGGCTCTTCCGCTCCAGGAGATGACTGACCTCAGTCCAGAGTAGAACTTCTGGGGACAGTTTGTAAGAGTTTCCCACTGGCTGCCCATCCTGGTTCCTCTGGGAGAATCCAAGGATCTATGTGGCACTCTTATCTTTCGTGGACCGTCACGTCCAGTGGAGAGACGACTTCAACGTGTGAAATGGTTCAACAACAACGCAAGGAAGCAATGCTGTAAAGTTTCCAAGTAAACCCTGACAGTAAAAGCGAATGCTGGGCATTCCAAGAAAGAAAAGCACACTGTGGAGGAGCGGGGTTGGAGAACAATGCCTCTGTCTCAAGGATGAACAGAACTGAGATAGAGAGAGGACCTGGCAAGGGCCCTGGGCCAAAGGCATGGAGTCTACATGTTTAGGACATACTGATTGAAAAGTGAAATGAAAATTGAGTGTGGAAGCAAAACACCCTGGAACGGGGGACTGAAGTAAGAGGGTGACGGCTTCTGAATGTCAGGCAAAGGGACTGGAATTTGTTCAGCATCTTCTCATCAAAACCATGTTAACAGGAAATACCTTGATGACCACAACGTTGGTGATCTGTGAGCAGGGAACCTTAGCATGCCCCTCACTAACCTTCGCCTTCCCACTCCCAACTTTCATGTGAACATTAGACAGTGTCTCAGTGTTTTGGTTTTCTGTTTGGTTGGTTGATTGGTCTTCGTTTTGTTTCTTTTGAGACAGAGTCTCATGTAGCTCAGACTGACCTTGACCTTGATACACAGCTAGCAAGACCTCAAACTTCTGATCCTTTTGCCCCCAGTTCCTGTGTGTTTACATTACAAGTATGCATTCACAAAGCCCAGCTTGTCTCCAGATTTTGTAAGGAATTTTGAATATACAGCTTTATGGGTTGATGAGCTGGAGATGTATCTCATGTAAGAAACCCAGATCCAATCCACA